ATTTGAACTGTTGTTGGCATGTACTAATAATGTTTTAAATTGTAGATGCTCTGATATGTTATTAAGTTTTTGTTTTTCTTTGTCAATTATAAGTATAAAGTCAAATGTTAGTCAGCTTTCAAAGTTTTCAAGCGTTAAAAAGTCAATGAGACACCTCAGATTCGTATTCGGGTCGGGTACGGGTTGGGGGTGTTATAATGTACCCTCTAGTGGAACGAATGAAAATTTATATCTTTTAAAATTAATCAAGATGGTAGAAAAAGAAATTGTTCTCGTATTTAAACCTATCAAAATAGACATCTTGACCCTATTTGGAGGTTTAGTTTCGATATTTATAAATACCCAAACATTCTGCATCTACCTTATAGGCTCGGTAATCTTCACTAATAATACTTTGTTTGTTGCATAACTTTAGTTAAATAAATGTGATGGCTATAATACTTCTAGTTTCTTTCTAAGTATGGGAAATTACCATTCTACCTTATATTATGTGGTAATTTTCTCCTTGGTTTGGAATAATAAAGTGTTAACAATTTAATTTTAAGACTCTTTGAGGGAAAATGATGAATTATAGTCTTTTAATCGGAAAAGAAAGGGACGCCACTCTACCTTATATTAGGTGGCTAACATTCTCCGACTAAAGGCACGAGTTAATGTTCTATCTTAGATCTTAATAGATTAAATGCCATTACATTTATTTAAGTAAAAGGGATTTATGGTTAAGTTAAAAATGCAAATTCGTAAAATCCATCGCATAGACAACAATTAATCAACTAGGTACTGATTTTCGAGAATTGTGGAGGTGTTAATCCTTCTCTGCACATAAACAACTCCCAAACTTATTTTTTCTGGAACATAGACCTAAACTTTATTTTTAATAAATTTTAAAAATAAATTTTAATTAAATAACAACATTTTTGGTGATCCAAATCACACCCTAAACAAAGATTGATGAAGACTCTCTCGAACCATATTTTTGTATTTTAAAGGAAAACCCAATTTTAGTTGAAACAAATCATCTTAAAATTAACCCCTCGACCTTTTGGGATGTTGCGACAGCTTGGCGACCCCACTGGAGACATTAGAGAGTCAGATCGATAGTTGATTAATTATTGTCTTTGCATTGGAAATTATGGATTTAACTTAATTTAATTTTTTTGATCCATTGGTTGTGCTTGTTTACTTGTATTCATCTTTAAACCCTAATGACATGTGCATACTTGTGTTTATTCTTACTGATGTGTGTATTCGTGGATTTTAGATTCTTATATTAAATGAACTGACTTGAGTAAAATGCATGTTAGTATGGTAAAGGTAGGGAGGTTTCTCCTCACACACTCACTGTATTTCATAACATAAACCCTATACCCGGGTTGTCCTTTTTAAGTGGGGGTGAAAGCGACCCCTTCATAGGATATGTTTCCTATTGCAGGCCTAGTGAATAGCTTTCGGGGTTCACACCTTATGTTCTCATGAGATATGTTTCTCCGTGTGAGCATAAAGGGGTGCATCCTCTCGAATTTAACTTAATCCATATGAACCTATGATGGGTTTAAAATCAAGGGTCTGGTAAGCCCAAGGGGGCATCTGCAAGGGTAATTCGAGTACCTTTAACCTTAGAGACAAAACCATGCATATAATGAACCATAAAAATCTACCCGGATTGAAACCATGCCTATAGGGGATTCCTAAATAAGTATACACAAAGGAGAAACCGACCTTTATCCTTTACTTCATTTTTTTACAAGTAAAAAGCATACGAACTAAGAATTATGCGATTAGGATTTATTGCCAAATAAAGCATAAGGTAGAAATCATGTTTGGGTAGGTTCATTATCTTTTACTATGACAAGGTAAAACTTTTATTGGATAGACTTTATTGCTTTTATTTATTGTTTACTAACTTGTTTCCGTTTATGTTTTTTATTCCTCATCATGTTGCATCACATTAGAATACTATAAGAGGCATTGATCCATGAATATTCCATAAGAATTAGAAGAGGTTTCAATGATGGAGTTGGAATCTAAAAAATCTAGTTTCTTATTCATAAGCAAGGGTGTGGTAAGAAATAACGCAGCAGAAATTTGGGGATAATTTGCTTTCGGATTTTGTGTCAAAGCTAACAGATAAGACTCATCTCAGATGCCAACAGAATGATTTGCAAGAGCTTATAAGAGTATGGGATAATTGGGCTTTTGAGACTAGAGAATGTTTCAAACAAGTCTATGGTGATGTCTCATTCTTGCTCTATGTGAATATAGATGAACCAATGCTTCGTGCCATGAATCAATTTTGGAATCATGGGTACCGCTGCTTCACCTTCAATGGAGTGACATGGTTCCTACTGTTGAGGAGTATATGACATTATTAAACATTAAGAATGTCACCGGTGATCATATTTACTGTAAGCCTGCCAAAGCCCCGTCATTTAGAGCTAGGCTGGTGAAACTCTTCGGAGTGGAAGACAAATGGATAAAAGATCACCTTAAAAACAAGGGCAAAATGTTTACTATAGTATTGGCCACTAAACTTGTAATCTGATCCCCAAAATTTCATTTTGGATGCAATTTTGTACCTATTTTTTAAAATTATTTTTATTATATGTCACAAATTAATTTTTACTATTGCCATGTTGATGTATTAACTGATGTATTTGCTTAATTATGTGGATTTATTTAAGCATGATTAATTCATTAATTATTAACTAACAAGTATGTATAATTAATTTCATCTTTAACCATAACCTTTTTTTAAATTCGTAGATGTTTAATGTAATTTCTTTGCATGACATTCTTTGTTATTTCGCGAGTATGATAGCCTCATCCACATCACTTCGTTTTTTACATAATAAATTAAAAGGTAATACACGTTTAATTTAAATTATCAAAATAGATCATTCTAATCCACCTGGTTAGCTCTATTTGATCATTTAAAGTGAATGTGTACCCTCTAATGGAATAAATGAAAAATGATAACCTTTTAAAATTAATCAGAAGGTAGAAAAAGAAATTGTTCTCATAGTTAAACCTATCAAAAATAGACATCTCGACCCTATTCGGAGGTTTAGTTTCGGTATTTATAAATACCCGAACATTCTGCATCTACCTTAAAGGCTTGGGAATCTTCACTAATAAGACTTTGTTTGTTGCATAACTTTAGTTAAATAAATGTGATGGCTATAATACTTCTCGTTTTCTTTCTAAGTATGGGAAATTACCATTCTACCTTATATTAGGTGGTAATTTTCTCCTTGGTACAATAAAGTGTTAACAATTTAATTTTAAGACTCTTTGAGGGAAAATGATGAATCATAGTCTTTAGTTGGAAAAGACTAAACGTTATTTTTGATAAATTTTAAAACTAAATTTTATTAAAATAACAGTATTTTTGGTGATCCAATCACACCCTTAAACAAAGATTGGTGGCAACTCTCTCAAACCATGTTTTTGTATTTTTTTAAGGAAAATCCAATTTTAATCGAAACGAACCCTCTTAAAATTAACCCCTCGATCTTTCGGGGCATTGCAACAATGGTACTTGGGTGTAAGAATGGAGAAGAAAGAGTGGAGAAAGGAAGAAGAAGAAGAAATGAAGAAAAATTAAGGGAAGAATATGAAATGAGAGATATAAAAGCTTTCATCCTTTAAAATGGGGTAAGTATGGTTTTGGTTTTTTCTCATCTTCTTACCATTCAAAAATATTCTTTTGATGGCTAATTGAACCCAATTCCAACATAATTAAGCACAACGACTAAAATTATGAAATTCAAGGGATCCATCCACATGCATTTCGGGTAAACTCGAAACTATTAGTCTAGAATTTGGGGTGTTACAATAATAAATATTGCTACAACTTACAAGGTGTGTTTGGAGGTGAAAAAAATTCATGTCCTTTCCATAAAATCCAAACTTGAACTCAGTGACCTTAGTGGTTAAGAGACTTTTTGTTATCTTTTGAGGTCTCACGTTCAAACACCGCGTATATTAGAGGTATGAGCGTTCATTGTCAGACGGTTGAAAGTTATTTTTGAACATATACTACTTTATATTACATTTACCCCAAATTTATATAAAGAAAAACCAAAGGGTAAATCAGGAATAGAAGTATAACGACAAAGGATGGAATTGTGAGAATGCACAAGATTTGTGATGAATTAGTGAAGCTAAAGGGTCTTGCCTCCCTAAATGGTAAAATTTCATATCTAAACCCTTACAAGTTTCAAGCTTTAAAACTAAGGCAATGATAAAATTACCTTTTTGACCTTCAAAATAGTAGATTTCAGGTTAGTCCTATTAAATGATGATATAACTACGAACTAAAACAATAATGAAATTATATTTTGATGTTTTTATAATTTAATTTTGGTCCTTTAAAAAAAATAACTCTTAATCACAGAGTAATTATAAGAGAAGATAATTATCGTACACCCTCTCCCAACCATTTAAAATTACAATTCATTGTGTATATTTTATGCACAAAGTGCAATTGCATACAATTTAGTAGGATACATTGATAAATAAAAATGAATAATAAAAGATTTGTAAGTCATAAGGGTTAATACATACATAATTACTTCAATTCTCACTATACACATGTAATATATTACCTATTACACACTGCTATTTGTTCAACTCATCCTAGGCACAAATTGGGCCCCCTGGTTGAATTTTCTCTGCAACAAGCATGCACCAGTAGTCTAACTTAGTCCTCAAATTCACTATCGAACGGCTTCGATAATGAGCAGAGTCGATCGCAACCTGTTGTCCACAACAACATGATCAATGGACCAAGGAACTCAAATTCTGAGGATCAAATGCATTTCAAGTACAACAATATGGAATCAGTTAGATCTGTACAACAAAGTTACTTGAAATGAATAACCTTGTTTATTAAGTTCCTTCCCGTCCTTCTTTGGGCCAATCTATGGAAGTTGAATTTGTTCATTCAAACCAAAGACTAAGCTTACCTCGATTGACATAAGCCGAATTGCCGGAGGGCACTAATCTGTAGGGTTTATCTCCACGCAGGGAATAGGGGCTATCATGGGCCAATATTTTCCTTTCTCCCTTGAGCATTTGTCTTCTAGACGTGAGCAGTTCCTAATGCAAAGTCTTCCAAGTGTTGCAGGCGACCCTTCTAAGTACCGAAGCTTAGGACAGTTGATGCTCTTCAAGCAAAACAGATTTCGAAGCTCTTTGGACAGGAATTCTAGATTATGGAGTTTCGTGATGTATATCGAAACTAGAGTCGTTGGAAATAGACAATCTTCATCTGGAAAGGAAACCATCTCCTCTCCACCAGCAATCCTCAAGTCTTCAAGTGAAGTTAACGTATGCAAGTTCCAATTCGATACCGGTTCCTTGAGGTCTTTACAATCCCAGATCTCGAGCAACAATAGATTAGGAGGCAAACCCCTTCTAAGAAAACACATACTTGGACAGTTGCAAACCGTGAAATATTGAAGATAAGTGAGATTTTGCATCTGATTAGGTAGAGACTTGAGGCTAACACAACTGATGATGTCCAGAGATCTCAGGTTTGGGAGGGACAAACCAGTCTCTGGGAAGTATTTCAGATCCCAACAACTGCTTAATTTCAGTTCCGTCAAACATGAGAGATTGTTTAGAGAATCTGGCAAGTTTATTAGAGTAGAACTATTCCAGATATCAAAGTATTCGAGTGATGCATTATCAGGCAGCATCTCATCTGAAAATGGCTCCAGCTCCAAGCAATCCAATATCTTGAGCATTTTAAGGTTAGTCGGTAATCTACCTTGTGGAAAGCGAGCAAGAGACTGAAAGCCGATGATCTCCAAATGCTCGAGATGAGATGCAATTGTGTCGTTACCGACCTGAATCAGTCCCTCGGGTAGCGAACTTAGGCGAACCCTAAACTCTCCCTCTTGGAAAGCATGTGAGTAAAGGGCATGCTTCGATTCCAAGTCAAGAAAACAGCCAGTAAGTTCACCATGCCTCATTATACAACAAGGCAGGTCCTTAAGCAGTGGAAAATCTCTGAGCCAGAGACGTGTAAGAGTCGACCACAAACATGTCTCGGGAAAGGATACAAGTTTCGGGCATGATTCAATACACAAACGCTCAAGAGACACTAGGCGGTGCAGCTCTTCCTTTCCTGTCAGTGAGAAAGATATGTAAGAGAACAAACATTAATTTTTTCCTGAACAATAGAACTAACATTCTAAAATTCGGTACCTTTGTGCCACAATGATGTCAACCCGGTGCATTGGGAAAGGATAAGATGGTTAAGTGCTCCTGGAAACTGTTCAAACCCATCGGCCAGACATGTAAGGTCCGACAAACTCTTGATTCTCAGTGTAGTTCGAGACGTAAGGTCGACCATGCTCCTTGGAATCATCTTATTGCAATCTTCAATATTATGGTCAAGAAGATATGGGAGGCTCATTACTGAATAAGCCACACGGGGGTACCTTCTGATTGCAAGTTTCACCTGAGAAGGCAAGTATGCGGGTAATTTCCGATGCAACTTTGGACAGTTACCAATCATAAGCTCACGGAGACTCGGGAATTCCTGTCTTCTTTATCAGTTTTGTTAGGATAGTCCCAATCCTCCAAGTTCAACATGTTTTTGAACTGAAGAACTTCCAAAACATTGAAAGGTTTTAAAGAAGGTAAGCCATATCCAAAAAACTCAACATCCAATCTTTTGACTCCATTCGTTCTTTCGATCGAACACTTCTTGAATGAGAGTAGTCTCCCAAGTGCAGGAAGGAACGTAACGTTTCTACAGTTGGAGAGGCTTATATCCACAATTTTAGTCGACAAGGAACCTCCTAACCAAGATGGAAACTTTGTGCCAGGATAAAATGCAACTCGAAGTCTTTCAAGGTTTTGATGACGTTGTAGCATGTTGAAAACATGTATTCCATCGTCACCGTTTCCAAGATCAAGCGATCCATGACTCCATTGCAAATCTAACCTCTTAAGGCCCTGCTTATCCACTAGCATCTTGAGTATCAACCGCATTTTCCAGTCGAAGAATGGAAAGGTCCTTTGGCAAATGTGACAAGCCCTTCAATTCTTTGATGACAGACCGGCTACCCCTTCGCACAATGAAGTTGGACAAAATCTGTAGCTTTTTCAGGTTGCCAATCTGCATTGGAATCTCTGTTAAACTATCAGTATCGGTAAGATCAAGAACATGAAGAAGAAACAGATTCTCAATCGATTGAGGCAACTTGGTAAGGTTGTTGCACCAATGCAGTATCAATGTCTGTAGGTTGAGAAGAGATCCCACGGAATTAGGCAACGATTTAATTATGATGTGAGATAAATTCAGGTACCGTAAGTGTATCAAACCGCCTATATGATGTGGTAGCTCATCGATGCAGTAACCACTCAGACACAACGCTCTCAAGCAGACTAACCTCGGCAACAACTTTTGTAAGACATTATTGCTTAAATAGGATTCTGCTGCCCATGGCAAGTTATGAACTGGTAATGCCACCAGTGTTCTTCATCTTTCCATTTGATGCAATATTTCAAATCTCTTTGAAGTGTCGTATTGGCGACGAACGAATGAAAAATGCCGAATCTGTTAGACTTTATCATTTAATTTGTCTTCGTGAAATTAAAAACTGAAGCATATTTTTCTGGCAACAAATTAAGCAAGGACATTTATGAGGTCATGTATCAAGTATTGCGTTTTGTTACCGGTTGACTGCTGGAAAAAGGACCTCGACGATAAATCACGAAAATATTCAACTCCTATGTCCTCCATCTGCTTCTTTCCTTTCGTGGGGTGCAAGAAACCTTCTGCCATCCACAACAGAATCGACTCTTCCTTGTCGAATTCATAATCCTTTGGGAATATAGCACAATAAGAAAAACAACGCTTGAGATGGAAAGGAAGGTAATGGCAACTCAATCTCAGAGCAGGAAGGATGCCACTTTTTTCTTCGGGTAAATCCCAAATCTTGCTCTTCATTACGTCTTCCCACTCATCAGGCTTCCCTTTAGCACGAAGGAGTCCTCCGAGGATCTTAGCTGCCAATGGCAAGCCTTTGCACTTCTTTACTATTTCCTCACCGATTGTTTTAAGGTGCGGATGACCTCCGAAATCCGAAGCCCCAAGAGCATGCCGAGCGAACAGGGAGAGACAATCATCGTGAGTTCCCTCAGATGATAAGTCCCACAAGTAGCCATCATCGATACAACATGTTTGTTTCGAGCTGCACCAGAATTTTACTTCCGGCTGCCCCTTGAATGAAAGGCCTACATAGAAGCTCCCATTGTTCATAGATCTCATTCCACACATCATCTAAAACAATAAAGAATTTCTTCCCACACAGCTTCTCCTTCAGTCTTACTTGGAGTAACAGCCTGAAGCATGGTCTTCGTCAGCCGGACAACATCAAATTCCTCGGAGACACAAACCCAGACTTTCAAATGGAAAAAGCTCTTGACTTCGTCAGCAAGGACACGACAAAGACCGGTGAACTCCAGCTTCCTGTTTTGTTTTTTCTCCTAGAGTTTAATGTTAGAATTGTTTAATCGATGATGTTTCATAGCCCATACCTTAAGATACCAAACCATTCTTGGTTCAATGCTGACTCTCCTTTTGCCATTATTCCTCTCCCCTCTGTTAAGGAAGATGAAAAAGGAATCTGTTAAGGAAGATGAAAAAGGAAGGAAAGGGATAAATTCATCTCCATAGTGACTGTTAAAATATTCCAACAAGAGTCGTGACAAGTTGCCGTTTTCTTCTATATTATATATTCTTTTCTGTAATATATATTATGCTTGTCTATAATAAAGAATCTTTTTGTTTTAGTCTGCTATTTAATAATTATTAGTTAGAAATTTAACTTAAGAATTAATTATAATAGTTGAATAAATTATAGCACTTCACTAATTAGGTGTCTAAACAATTTTTTAAATGATCAATGTGTTTAACGTTACAAATAATATCATTTTAAGGTGTTTGGATCATCAACGGCGATAATTTTTTCCTTTTAAGTGACGCATGTTACATTATGATAATTTAAAAAAATTATTTAAAATTAAAAAATTAAAATTATATATTTGAAAAACATAGAAATTTTGAAATAACCCTAAAACTTTGAATAATATTCATTTTAACCCCTAAACTCACACCGACTGTCGCCCTTTGCCGTCGACAAAACTCCATCCGAGGTCACATCCCCTATAGCCCAAAACCCCTATGAAATCTTGATTGATCGAAGGTCGATCGAAGACAAATCGATGTTTTATATCTCGCGAACCTTAGGATGAAAATGGTTATCCCACGCGATTTCGACAGCCAATCGACGACGTAAGACTAGGAGGATGGCAGGGACTACGTCGGTGATGATGGTTGAGGCCAGAAAGGCTGGCGGCAGCGGGTTAGGGTTAGGATTAGGATTGGGGGATTTTGGAGATTTTTTTTTAATTTAAGAGAAATTATCAGATTATGACATATGTCACTTAATGAAAGAAATTAATATCGTTTGCGACCCTGACACCTAAAGTGATAACGTTTGTAACGCTAAGCATCGGATCATTCAAAAAATAATTTAGGTACCTATTTGTGAAAAAGCGCTATAGTTTAAGTAGTTATTTTATATTTAAGACTTGATTTAATTAGATAAAATTTGATTTTTAAATTAAGTTTAAATATTAAAAATATGGGTAAAATACACAAATAGTCCCCAAGATGTTATTTTGTTGAGTCTTCTTGCTATTAAAACTTACAAAATGATCACTCAACTATAGCCATTGCTTGTTGAGTCTCTCAAATTTTAACAGTTATAAAATTGTTACTTGACTATTCATATGTTCTGAATTTATCCTTTTCCAGTAAAACAAGTATCGACAATCTGGGTTTAACGTTAACCTGCTAACTGAGATATGATAAAATATGCTCTCATAATCTCAAACGAATGTCATATTTTAGCAGTAGGTTAATATCCAACTCAAACGACTGATAATTTTTTTAACAGTAAAAGACGAGTTCAGAACTTAATGAATAATAGGGTGACCAATTTGTAACTTTTAAAAGTCGAGGGATTTACCAAAGCAACATCCTATAGTTCAAAGACCATTTTGTAACTTTTAGTAGTTTGGGAACTCAACAAAGTATTTATCTTATAGTCAAGGGATCATTTATATACTTTGCCCTAAAGTTATTATATTTATTAAATTATGATATTTGAATTAGAAAAACTTGTTAAATTTATTTTTTATTTAAGATATATCGTTGATATTTTAATTTTTAAATTTTATGAAATTGAAATTTAAATCACCGTGTTTAATGATAATGTGATAAATTTTAAATATTATTTTTAGGATAAAAATATAAAATATAAATTTTATAGTTATTTAAAATATTTTTCTATTATTACCTCTCCTTACCCCATTATATATGGAAACAAGGGATAATTATTTTTATAGTTATTTAAAATATTTTTCTATTATTAAATTTATTTTGAACGTGTAAATGACTTGTTACATTATTAAAGAAAACAAAACACACGTACATAGGTGTCCTTCAACAGAAGCATAAAAAACCACAAAAGTAAAGCTGCACAACCACGTCTACTTCCCAAAGCAATGTAAATGCAAAAAAAAAAAAAAAAAAAAAAAGCAAAAGCAAAAGCAAATTGGAAACTAGTCTATAAACATCTGGTCATTCGACTCCCTTTCAAGAATCAGATGAAAACAACCAGCAAGGAAAGGGAAGAATATAGATAGAGCATGCAATCAGACGCGGGAAACCACAACGAATTAACTATGGAGGCTCGAGCCACCGTCTCTCCTTCGTCGTTTGTGTTGCAACGGTCATTCGGGTGATTCCGGGTTTATGTCCCGACTTGAAATATGTGATTAAGTCACCACTGATCATTTTCGAATTAGGTAGACCGGACATATTAAACTTATCGTTTTATCGGATCTACATCTTACCAGAGAATTATCGGATTCGAGAATCATTTACAAACGAGAAAGGATAAACACCCCCATTGTCCTTTCAGTACCAACTCAATTATTTGATTGTCTTAATTACGAAAATTATAATTTAAATAAAAATTAGATAATCAATCCAACTTACTTATCTTTAAAAGTTTACCAACACAAAATTAAATAAATTATGCGATTTAAAAAATAAATATACTCCGCAAACATATAAAAAGATCACGGGTACCAATATAAAAAAAACTACAATAAATAAATGAAATTAATATTAGAAACATATATGAATGTACGAAAAATGCAAGATACATGCAATAAATATGAAAAAAGAATTATACATGTTTAAAGAAAAATAAATAAAAAATTATTTTTTAGAAAAAGATGACACATTAAATGTTGAATTAAGAAAAGTAAAACTAATCAAATTAATGTGAGAAATAAATAAATCATAACAAACATAAAAAAGTAAGATAAAAATTGATTAAGAGAATATAAATGGATTGATTGAAGTAAATAAATAAAAAACTAATAATAAATGAATCAAGCAAAAATGGAAATAAATTAAAAACATAAAAAAGAAAAATGGCAGAATGAGAGTAAATTAAAGAATGCAAAAGGGGAAAATGGTTAAAATGGATTAGTATAAAATTAAGAATTTAAATTAAAGTAAAATGAAATTATGAAGAGATGATCAAAATGAATTTTAAAAAAATGATGGTTGTAATTATATCATACCCATATAAAAATATGTGTATATTTGTATATAAGAAAATAACATCCAATATTATTTAATCACATCAATTAGCATATTATTTTCCGTTGATATGAGATCACACTAAATATGACAAGATTCATATGGGATATTCTAGGTTGTGATAGCATTTTCTTTTTCATCATGGTCAGTGTGAACAGGCTCTTTTGCATTCGAATAAGTTTAGAGCCAAGACAAAAATTGGCTATTAATATTGCCCCTCTTTGCTCATTGGCATGTAACGAGAATAAAGCAAAGATAAAAAATGACCAATTTTTGTCCGATATATGTAGCTTCACTACTTGGTGTTATCATTTCTTTTGACCTTTGATTGATATGCTCTTCCACATTTTTTTTGGTATCTTCAAGAATGAGTGGTCCTTTTGGAGTATATACCGAGGGTTCTTAACATCTTCTACATCTTCAAATAGTTGGTTTTGAAAATTTTCATTTGGTTCATCTTGGTCCCAAAGTAGTTGAATCTGTAAAAGTCAACATAATCATGGGTTAACGTACCTATGAATTTTTATAAAGATGATTGGTTTCTCTGTTTGAGGAGGTGAAGTTGAGAACTCCTTCTTTGTGGGTTAAGTCAAGGTTGAATGTTCTCTGAGCCAAATATCTTTCATTGTGAAGTTGAAATCTGACTTTAGGAGATTTGACTGGAATATGACTCTTCGCGGTTGAGTTAAGCCAAATTGTTGTCAATTCTGAATTGGATTTCGAACACAATATCTCTTTCGTGAAGTTGAAATTGACTTTGAAAATATACAAAATTGTACACATGTGTGTAATGTTATGAACAAGGATCCCTTAAACATGCCTAAAATGTATAAAATTAGCTCCTCGTCATGTCAAGAAAATGTCTTGAGTGAGACAGACTTTTTCAAGAGAAAACATCTCAAGTGAGATGAAATTTCATTTTGAAAGAAACTATATTAAGTGAGACAAAAATTTTCAAGAGAAATATCTCGAGCAAGATGAAAAATTGTTTCGGGATAAATCGTCTCGAGTGAGACAAAAGTTTTTAAGGGAAAATATCTTTAGAGAGATGAAATTGTTTCGAGTGAAACTGTCTCGAGTGAAATGAAAATTTTCAAGGGAAATATCTCCAGCGAGATGAAATTTTGTTTTGAGAGAAACTGTCTCAAATAAGACGAAAATTTTCTAGAGATATATCTCGAGCGAGACAAAATTTTGTTTCGAGAGAAACCGTATGAAGTGATACAAAAGTTTTCAAGGGAAAATATCTCAAGAGAGATGAATTTTTGTTTCGAGTGAGACAAAAATTTTCAAGGGAAATATCTAAAGCGAGATGAAATTTTGTTTCGAGATAAACTGCCTCGAGTGAGATGAAAATTTTTCAAGGGAAAATATCTCAAGTGAGATACAATTTTGTTTCGAGTGAAACTGTTGGAGTGATGAAAAATTTTCAAGGAAAAATATCTCAAGTGAGATGAATTTTTTTTTGAGTGAAATTGTATCGAGTGAGACAAATTTTCAAGGGAAAACCATCTCAAGTGAGATAAAATTTTTGTTTCAAGGTGATTGTCTCAAGTGAGAGGAATTATTTTTTTATGAAAACTGTAACCCCCTCAGACCGATGCGAATAACCCGATATGATCTGGAGTGTCACATTAGGGCCACCGCAGTGACCCACCGTAAAAATAGAGGAAAATTTAAAACTTCTATTAAAACATGTAAACTCATAAAATCATTTATAAATAAAAAAATAAACTTTACCAATATTTAGAAATAAAACAGTTTTTTAGACTCGTGTATAAAACAAAAGACAACCTACATGCCACCTAATCACATGTACCATACTCTGCAAGAAACGCTAGAAGAACTCCCTTATTGATGTCGATAGTTGTACTGGTTCAATCCTTTTAACCTGAAAAGGGTGAG